GAAACGATGCAGGGGCCCTGGCGGAAGGGGCGGAGCATCGAGGGACTGTGTGGGGGGCAGTCCTGGGACCCCTCGGCCCCCATCGCCCTGGGAGCCCCCGAGTTGCGTCCCAGAGCAGCACCCTGCTGGCTGCTCCGTGCCTGCGCCTCCCCTTCCCTGGGGACACGGCCCCTTCCGACACCGCTTGTCCCCACTGCCCGTGGACAGGGCCCCCGCAGGCCCCTCGTTGTGGACTGAAGTAACCCACGGGAGGGGGAGGGAAGGGGTGGTGGCAGGAATCACCAGACTTCAGCCACCACGTGGTCGGAGGCGCGTGGTGCCGTGGGGAAGACCTGACCACCGTCAGGAGGTCCCGGGTTTGAATGTGGGCTCTGTCACCCACTCTGGGGAGCGGGGTGGGGACCCCAGACTCTGATGCCTCGAAATCCCAGGCACGGTGTGGGGCAGGTGAGGGGGTAGAAGCACTGGGCTCACCTGCCCCAGGCTGGTGAGAAATGGGCTGGGAGGAGGGGGCTCCTGAGTCTGCCCCCCAGTGAAGGTGACGGCCACCGTGTGGTGACGGCCACCGTGTGGAGGCTGCGCGGCGTCCTCTCCGCCTGCCCAGGGGCCCTCGCAAGGCCTCTGGGGCGCTTCCTGTCCTGAACTTGAGGCCGCCGGGGCCCCACCCAGAAAGACGGCCTCCCCAACCCACGCATGGGACAGATTCTGCTTAGGTGACTCTCCTTTGGTGGGGAGGATGCGGGATTCCCAGCAGGAGCCCCGGATTTTGTCGCAGGGGACCTGGTGGTTCTCTCCTGGGCGAGGGCTTCTAAGGTCAGCTGCTTCCCCCCTGAGACTCTGACCGAGTCCCAACTCGAAGGCAGCTCAGCAGGGCCGAGCGGCGGCCAGCGGCTGCGTGTTCACCACTTTCTCCGGCGGCTTCTGTGATCTGTTTCTGTCTTCCGGGGTCCTGCCTGGGTCCCCCCTTCCTTGCCCTTTGTAACCCCCTCTACCTCCCTCCCTCAGGTGGTCTGACGTCCCCCAGGTGCCTGCTCTGCAGGGCCCGTGGATGGCGCCTGTGTGCTGGGACCGGAGGGGGAGCAGTCAGGTGCTCCCACCCACTGCCCCCCGGGGCTGGGGCTGGCCCTGGCCCCTCCGCCCCAGCACTAATCTAATCAGGAAATAGCAGCGTCCACATTTCCCAGGGGTTATAAATAGCCACAGCAACTCAGGCAGCATCATTTCTCTGGAAAATGTGCCATGTCCCTCTCTACTCTGCACCCTCCCTTCTCTGTATTTAAATGACATCCTGAAATAGATTTGGCTTCTGGAGACTGCTGGCCTCCTGGGAGACAGCTTCGTTGTTGGGGCGCCGAGGGGCTGGGCAGGCCTCCCTGAGTGGGCGCCAGGGCACACCTGTAGAGGGTCAGGCCTGGGCCTGTGGTGGGGCTCACAGTGAGACTCGAAAATGCCACCTTACCCAGACCTGGCCGCAGACAGGCTGGTGCAGGTAGAACGCCTGCAGATGGGGCCAGCAGGCTGCAGGGCGCAGGGTCTTAGGACAAGGGGCAGAGGGGAACCGGAGGTTCCTGAGGCCTGGGCTTACCCAGGAAGGCTTTTGGGAAGAAGCAAGGCCAGCACTGGGCCTTAGCATCAGGAGTTGCTTTTCCCATCTCCGATGCTCCCAGGACAACGTAGGGCTGCCGCTGCCAGGAAGCTGGAACAGAAGCGCTGGGGAGGGGAGTCACGGAGGGACTGTGCTGGAGGCGGCCTGGCAGCACCCAGGTCTGCCCTTGGTGCCTGATCACAGGCCGGGAGCCCTGATGTCTCCCTTCTAAACAAATCATGGCAGCGCCGTTGTTGCCAAGAGGGGCAGGCGCCAGGCCAGGCGCTTCCCATGTGCTCTTGCAGGTTTAGCAGAGCAGGTGAGTCAGAGACTTGAGTCTGTCCCCCAGCTCTCGCCTGGATGTGTGGTGCTGGGCCCGTGCCTCGTTTCTGTAAGCCTCCCTGTCCTCATCTGCAAAATGGGGGCAGCTGGGAGGGCTTACACCTGTGAGGCTTGTCCTGCTGATTAACTGAGAGGCTATAGATAAAGGGTCTGGTGCAGTGCCAAACTTTGGGGCGCTGATCGCAAGTCATCATCTGCTGTTAACTGCTCTCCCTGACGACCCTCCGGGGTGGGTACTTCCCTCGAGGAAACCGAGGCTGGAAGAGGCGAAGTGACTCGCCCCAGGGCACACAGTTGGGCGAAGAGGGAACATTTGGACCCAGATCAGTCCGACTCTCAGTCCTTGTACGTCCCCTGTCCTCCCCTCGGGCTGGGTCCAGATGTGACTCCAGGCCCCATGGAGGGACCCCCGGCTCAGCCAGTGCCAGGCCCGGGGAGGCTGGGGCAGGGCAGCGACGTTAGGTGAATCTGGCCAGCTGCCACGACCACGGAATGGACCCAAGGGTCACGCTGACGCCTGGAGAGACCTGCGTCAAAAGGGGTGGTCACTCCAGAGTGTGTGCCCAAGGTTAGCATCTGCCTCTGTCGACAGAGCCGTTGAGGTCTTGGTACTCCAGGTGGCCGCTGCTGTAGGCCAGGGCTGGAGCAGAACCAGGTCCTGTGTCCCAGACAGTGTTCTGGATGAGATGAAGGCCTGGTGAGGGTTTGGGACGAAAAGTTTAGAGGGATGGGAAGCTACAGGAAAGGGAGGCCAAAGCTGGGGCTTCCTCTGGGACCCGGGAGGACGCTGGGCCCTGGCACCAGCCAGGCCGGTGGAGTTTCACTGGGGAGCCGGGGTGGCGGTGGCGGTGGCGGTGGCGGAGCTCTGCTCTCTCCTTTCTCAGTTCCGTCCCTCCTCCGGTCTGGAAAGGACCACTGGGGCCTGGGCCAGAACCGGCCGACATGTGGACCCCAGACCCCACCAGACGCTGGGGCGCCACCTGTCTGTGCCCCGCGGGCATGGGCGTGATGGCAGGTTCAGGAAGGCCCGTGTCCGCACTGTAGGAAGCCCCACGGCCCAGGCCCCCCCCGCTTCCCCCTCAGCTAACCCAGCTCCAGTTTGCCTCCCCTGCTGAGGCCAGTGAGAGCAGTGGGGTTCAAACTTCACACCTGCCCTGGGGGGAGAGGGGGTGCCGAGGCTGCCCAAGGGTCACGTGGCAGGGAGATTGCAAGGGAGTCAGCCTGCAGACCCTTAACCACAGGTGCTCCCCTCAAAGAGCAGCACCCGTGCAGGGCTTTTACCAGCCCCTCTCGGGGCTCGGGGCTCACTGGTGGGACGTGGCCCAGGGTCTGACCCTCCTGGGTACACAGCAGGGGGGGGGCCACTGAGAAGGCTGGGCGTGGGTGTTGGAGAGATGTAAGGCGCTGTCGCCCGGTTACAGATCCTTTCAGGAGCCGGCAGCTTCCCCTGCTTTGTTTTCTACAAAACTGACAGATCATGAGCTGGGAGACTATTCGAACTACGTTTTCATAATGGGTATAGGTGCGACGATGTAAGGCAGATAACAAGGAAAGAGGTTGAAAATTGCCTAACATTTCTATAATAAAACTGTCTTCAGCCTCATCTACTTATTTGTGTGAACAAGGTATTTCATTCTTTACATCTTTCAAAACAAAATTAAAAAAACACGAACAGAAATGAAGCTGAACCCCGTCACCCGAGCAAAAACTAATATTCACACGCGCGCGTGAACTAAAACCAAAACGCTCTGCCTGTCTGCTAAGAGAGGCTCTTCCACCAAGTGGCACTTGGCTGCTGCGTATTTACTAACATTTGTCACTCGTTGGTTAATTTTTTACTGTAGACTCCTAATTATTATAATAACTGATCCGGAATATGATTGGAATATTTGGAACCTTGTGGTCTCAGGAAGTTTTTTATTTCCACTTATACAGCAATTTTTTGTTGAAGTAAAGTAGAATAGGGTGAGGCATAAAGTGAAAAAGACAAACTAGGACAAAATTCTTTGGGAAAACAGCAGACACTCCCGGCAGAGGAAGAAGTGGTGGGGGGGCTTCCTCAGGGGAGGGAAGAGCTTGTTCGAGTTTCCGAGTGGCTAACGGTGGGTATCAAATCACTGTGGTATTTGGACTTCGCTGAACGCATTTAAAAGAATGAGGTAACAGTTTTATTGTAAGATGTAAATATTTACATTATTTTGGAATTTTTTTTCCTTGCAAGTATTTAAACTTGCTGTGGAAATGAGCAGTTGTTGACTTTAAAATGCGGCGGGGTGTGCGCTTAGTGTTTCAGATTTCGTGGGTGTGCAGGGAGACGCAGGTCAGAGGTGGCTGGGTCCGAGGACAGTCCCGCCAGGCCCCTTGTGGGGGGAGGGACTCTGAGTCCCCATCTTCCCCACCCGCTGCGGCTCCGGCCCAGGGTGGGGGCCTCCCCTGCAGAGTACGTGCTTCCGTGGGGGCCGGATGCTCACCCGAAGTGATCTCACTGAGTCTTCACAACAGTTCAGCAAGGAAGGCTCTGGTCGCTGACGGACTGCAGTGAACAGATGAAACAGATGAGCTCAGCGAGGTTAAAACTCCCCACAGTCACGCAGCCACAGCGGCAGAGCCAGGATTCGGGCCCAGCCGCCCCCCCAACTCCCGATTCTGGGTCTGCACCTCTGCTCTGTGCTGCCTCCGCTGCCCGGGGCCGCATTCCCTCCTGTTGCTCCAGTGCCAGGGGGCCCAGTCACTGCCCAGTCATTGTCTGTGAGCCTCAGCTTCTGCATCTGGGAAGTGGGTGATAATCCCACCTCGCAGGGGGTGGTCAGGAGTGAAGGCGGTGTGATGGGCAAAAGTACCTGACAGTGCAGTGCGCCCTGCCTCCTTCACTGCATGGGGGGAGGGGGGACAGTCCTTCCCTAGCAGGGCAGGCGGGGCTGCGGCCACCCTGAAGGGCTGCTTTCAGGGTGAGCCTCAGCCCCCACTCTGCCTTGCTGACCATTCAGGCAGCTCATGAGCAGCGGCTTGGTCTCCGAGCTGTCATCCCGCCCTCTCTCATGTTCTCTTTTTTTCTTTCTTTCTTCCTTCACAGCTGGATCCACAAACCGTGGAAACCAAGAACTGGCACACAGATGTGATCGAGATGAACGGGGTGAGCTGGAGAGACAGAACATGTCTGCACAGTGGGTGGGCTGCCCGGCCTCTGGCTGGTGTCCTCAGGGTGCTCTCTGCCCCTGTCCCCTTAGCCCAGCCCCTCTCGGTGGGCCTTGTTTGCAGTTCTGGGGGAGGGGACCCTGGGTCTGGGGGGTGCTCCTCGGGCACTCATGCCCTCCTCTCCCCCGACCAGATCAAAGTGGAATTCTCCATGAAGTTCACCAGCCGAGATATGAGCCTGAAGAGGACCCCGTCCAAAAAGCAGACCGGCGTCTTCGGCGTCAAGATCAGTGTGGTGACGAAGTAAGTGCCGCCTCCGAGGCCCATGTGCTCGTGTCAGTGCCCAGGGTCCCTGCCAGCCCTCCCAGGCCCCCGCCCAGCCCCGCCGCCACCCCCCAGTTCAGTGGTCACGATGGCGAGTGTGGAGGCCGAAAGTGGCCTGCAGGGGTGTGCCCTCTGTCACTCGTGCTGCTGGAGGAGTAAAGGAGCCAGCGGGCAAACCTGGGCGCCGCCAGTGCCCCATAATAAATGGGGTAGCACGACCACAGTAGGCCCACCTTTTAACTGGCAGAGGCAGGCTGGGTCCCAGGCGCAGCTGGCCCTCGAGTGAGGGTGTGTGCCCTCAGCTCACCGCCGCCCCCTCGAGTCCAGGACCTGGCCCACCTCCCTCGGGCGGGTCTCCTGCTGGGTCTTCCCCGGCGTTTGAGTCTGAGACCTCTGTTCTAAGGGACGTTCTTTCCTCAGTCTTTGGGCTCACCTCCCCACACTCCCAGCCTTTGTTCCTTGCTGTCCCTCAGCAGGCTGTCCCTTCGTGGGCCGTGTGGGGCAGGGTGACACAGTCTCTCAGCTCCGTCCTTGCCCCCCAAGCTCCCCACCCCCGCCTCCTGATTCCAGAGGCTAGAGCTCTCCCAGGCCAAGCTATTTGGGGTGGGGGCCTCCCCTTCACCCTCCCTCACACCCCCTGCCCGTAGGCGGGAGCGCTCCAAGGTGCCCTACATCGTGCGGCAGTGCGTGGAGGAGGTGGAGAAGAGGGGCATCGAGGAGGTCGGCATCTACCGGATATCGGGCGTGGCCACGGACATCCAGGCGCTGAAGGCTGTCTTTGATGCCAGTGAGTCTGGGGGGCCCAGCGCGGGAGGCCGCGGGGAGACGGTGCCCCAGCAGGCCGGGCTGGCAGGAAAGCCCCGTGGAACCAGGAGCCCTTCTCCGTTGGGGGGGCCTGATTAGCCGATGGCAGAGGAGCCTTGGTCTGTGGGCTCCACAGTCCCGGGGCCCGGGGTGAGCCACTTCTGGGTCCCTGTGTCACGGGCCCTTCCTGCCCTTTCTCAGGTTATGGCCCTCCCTCCAGTCTCCTATCCATTGCTACAGATGAGGAGACAGGCTCAGAGAGGTTGAATCGCTGGCCCAGGCTTGCCCAGCATGTGGGTTTTGAGCCTGACTTAAGCTCACATCTTTCTGACCAGCTACCAGGGTCCCGGGGGATGTGAGGAAAGGAGAGACTGAGCCTGGGCTGACTGTCTCCAGGGCCCCAGGTGCCCACCCTCTGCGAGGGGCATTGCTGTCTCTAACTCTGGCCACAAACTCCTCAGTGGTGGCGGGCTTGAGCTCTCTATGTCTTCCTGTCCCTGTCTGGCCAGTTCAGGCTACAGCAGCAGCATGTGCAGGGTCAGGGAAGCAGAACTGGGTGAGCAGTGCTGATTCCATGGACACTGAGAGGGGCCCACGGGTGTCCCTGGGTGGCTGCCAAGCGGAAACGTCGGGGAAGCCTGGGCTGGGAGGCTGGGGACATGCTGGCACACGGAGGAGCCATGTGCCCTGGAAGCCGAGGCTTTGTTGCAATGTGATTTTAGGTATAAAAAATGCACTGCCTTCCAGAGAAGGGCTTAGCAGTGGGGAGATTCCAGTTAGAAGGAAGGAGTACGACCCCCAGGGCTCAGATGTGGCCCCAGAACTCTGCTCCTGTGGAGCTGAGCCACGGACCCCTGTGGGTACTATGTGTATCCTGCCTTTCTCGGTGGGGACTGGGCCAGAGACGGAGGGGGTGCATAGGAGGAGGTAGCCCAGGCCAGTGTGGCCCCTGACCTTCACCTGCTCTGCAGACAACAAGGACATCCTGCTGATGCTGAGTGACATGGACATCAACGCCATCGCTGGCACCCTCAAGCTCTACTTCCGAGAGCTGCCCGAGCCCCTCCTCACAGACCGACTCTACCCTGCCTTCATGGAGGGCATCGGTGAGGCTCTGGGGCCCTGAGGGCTGGGCTGGGCTGGGCCTGCTGGCCCGCAGGGTAAAGAGTCTCTTGCTTCCCTTGCTTATTGGTCTGCCCAGTATACCTGAGCATGTGGCTGAGTGGCCAGGAGGGCAAGGTGCAGCCTGAGCCCAGGCTGCATCCTCTCTCACCTGCCTTTCTCCCCTCTTGTCCTATGGGCTGCCCTCTGTCCTTCCTCTGTGGACAGACACCTCCTTGCTTGGAAACCTGGGTGTCCAAGGAAACCCACCTAACAGCCGGTGGTCAGGGACCAGCGCCCCAGAGCTTAGGAGAAGCCTGGTTAGGGCCAGAGTGCCCCTGACCTGGCTGGTGCTCAGCCTTCCGGAAGGAGCACTCGCTCATCTCACCCGTGTAGTGGCTGGGGAGGAGGCGGAGGGCCTGGCCGGCAGGACTCTGGCCTCCGACCACCTGGGCCAAACCCAGGCCTGGGTGCCCCCCTCCTGCGTCTGGGGCGCAAATCAGGGCTTCAGCCACCATGAGAAATGAGGAGCTCCACAGCAGGCTGCTCACCACCGCTCCCTGCTGTGCTCCAGCATGGGACGGGTTAAAGAGAAAACCTTCACCCAGCGTCGTGGTTTTCTTAAACCTGACAGACCAGGGGAGGGAGTGGCATCTGCTGCAAAGGCCTGTGCAGTGAGGGGAGGCTGGGTGTCTGCGCCCCAGCAGCCTGCCTCCTGGCTGAGTTACGGGTTGTGGGTGGGCTTCCTGTAAGAGCGGGCTGTTTGATAGCCCACCCTCTGAAAGATACCCGGCCCTTCTCTGCAGGGCCTGCTTCCCTGACCCCAGGCAGCCTGGGCTGTCCCTCGGGGTCCTGTAGCGGGGCGTGGCTAGGGCCCCCCTGTGTGGGAACCGAGCCCCTCCCTAGCCCCGTCTCTCCCACAGCCCTGTCAGACCCTGCTGCCAAGGAAAACTGCATGATGCATCTGCTCCGCTCCCTGCCCGACCCCAACCTCATCACCTTCCTCTTCCTGCTGGAACACTTGAAAAGGTAGTGGACAGGGGCCCCGCGGGGGGGTGCGGGGGCTGGGAGGGGCAGGGAGCCCAGGGCAGGCCCTGCTGGAGAGCACACACCAGCTGCAGGACCCACCGCCTCGTGGGCGCCGGCCTCCACTGGGCTGTCGAGAACAGGGTGAGAGTCTGCATTTCAAGTTTTTACAATTCTAGTTTGAGAAATATTTGGGTCCTAATAACAGCCTGAAAAATGGGCCATAGAAGGCTTAGAAAGGCAGGGCTAGAGCCAAAACCATAGATGAATTTTACAGTCAAGTGGGTCAGTCAGTCAACTTAGCATGTTCGAAATGGGAAGAAGGGACGGTGTCAGGGTGCACTGCAGGCAGGCGGTGCGGGCGTGTCCTGTGCTGTTCATCGTACTTGGCCGCGGGTGCTTTACAGCGCGAACCATGTTTGTCACTGCGTGTCCTCGAAGAGGTCTTGACCAGGCCTTGTCTGACGGACAGGGAAGCAGCCCCTGGCCCCACAGGGATTTGCCGTGGTCAGCAGGGCACTGTGACTAGAATCCACATCTCCCAAGTCCTAAACAAGGCCCTCCCCACCTTCTCCCCATACTTGCCCCTGCGTGTAATTGGGTCAGACTAAGAGCTGCGGAAGTCGAGGTGGTGGCCAACTGCAGACTGAAACTAGTCCTGAGGATGCCCTTATCGGTCCCTTTTGAGCCCAGGACTGGCCTGGCGTATGAGTGGGCAGGACAACTCCCAGGTGCACCGTAAATCCGCCACCAGGACCGGGTTGCCTGGAGGGGGGCTGTGCACGGGTCCTCCCAGAGCTCAGCCCCACCCCTGGTCCCAGGTCCCAGCTGTGGCTCAGAGCAGCCGAGAGATCTGGAACCGCCCGGGGCTGCTGTCTTGTTTTTCCCACTATGAGACATTCCCTCTGGTTTGGCCAGGACCAAAACCCCAACCAGTTCCCAAATAGCTTGGCGAGCACTGTGGGGAGGACGCACAGAGGAGCGTAAAGGGAAAATTCATTAGGTTTTCCACCCTGGGAACCGGGCACAGTCTGTTCTCACATCTGGGCCCGTGGCTGGCTGCGCGCGCGTGTGTGTGTGTGTGTGTGTGTGTGTGTGTGTGTGTGTCAGGGCTGGGCCCACTGCACAGCTGCCTGCTGGCATGGCAGTGTTTGCAAGTTTCCGAAGCAGTCAGCGGGCACATCCATGACTCGCCTGGAGGCTGGTGTGAGAGGCACTGCTCAGGGCAGGTGGGTCTCAGCCCCAGAAACATTTCCCAGGATCAGGGAAGCCCAGGGCCTCTCTGATGTGTTGGGTAGTTACTGACCTTCCTGGATGCCAGCCTCAAATGGCAGCCCCTACTGTCACTCGGGGGACATACCTACAGAGCACCTGGCTCATTATGCAAGAGAAGCAGAGGACGGTACAAGGGGAGGCAGCTCTGGGGCTCCGGGAGCTGGACCCTTCTGGAAAGGATCGGGAGTTTTCTCGCGGGATGAGGATTGTTCCTCCCACAGAGCCCTGGGTCTCGTCAGCAAGTGCTGTGGGGGCTCCAGCTCCCGCTGTGGCTCCTGCCCCGCCCCACCCACCCTGATTCTGCCTCTGGGCCACGCACCAGCCTGCCTGATAAAGGATACAGCACAGTGTGGTGGAGAGCAGGGCCTGGAGGCGAGCTGCCTGGGTTCACCGCCAGCCCTGCCACTGGCCAGCTGTGTGACCTCGGGCAAGCCACGTAACCTCTTTTTCCTCATCTGTGCAGTGGAGATGCTAACATCTGCCCAGAGCACTCCGAGGAGCACGAGTTATTATTGGGGAAGGTCTTGGGCAGTAATGTCATTACCTCTGAGGCAGAGGTGTCGGAGTGGGTCCCCGTGGCCTTGGCAGTTTACCGTCAGTTCTGGGGGTGGCCCTGGAGCTGGGAAACTGCTCCAGGAAAGGACCAAGACAGAGCTGCTGGGGACTTGGTCCCTCCACCTAGTTCCCTGCCTACCAAGAGGTCTCTACCCTCAGGAGAGGAGTCTACTAACCACCTTCCAGGAACCCTCCCAGGAGCTTTCACACCAAAGGCCGAGGGTCTGGAGCTCCAAGTAGCTGCTGAGAAATGACTTTTCCCCCCTCCCCACCCTTTCAGGGTTGCTGAGAAGGAGCCCATCAACAAAATGTCCCTTCACAACCTGGCTACCGTGTTTGGCCCCACGTTGCTGAGACCCTCAGAAATGGAGAGCAAAGCACACCTCACGTCGGCTGCGGACATCTGGTCCCATGATGTCATGGCACAGGTACTGCTGCACTGCCCGGGCCTGTGGCTGGTGGAGGGGTGAGACAAGCCCCCCTGAGGAGGGGAGAGAGAACAGCTCACAGCCCCACACCCCTTCCCTCCCGAGCAGCTGGGCTGATGGGCTGTATGTAGGCTGTCACCAGGGCAGCGGGGCTTTGGACAGTCCTCCCCACCTAGACCAAACCTGCAGTTACACAAGGCCCCCAGACCAGGGCCCAGGTGCTGGCTGCCTTCCTGGGAGTGCCTCTGTCCCGGAAGGGACGCCCAGGGGCGAAGGAGAAAGCTGGGCCTTGTCTTCGTGCGTGGAAAACCTAGGACGGCTCCTGGGTCAGGAAGCTTCCTTGGGATCCCCACAAGACCCGGGGCAGGGTCCAGGTTGGCAAGTGGCCCCAGGCTCCTCGCCCTCTGCCCTGCAGCGCCCTCTACTGCTGCAAATGGGCAGACTCACCTGGGCTGCTGAGGAAGGGGAAGTGGCAGGGCGCCAGCCTGAAAGGGAAGCAGGGCACCACAGATGTGACCCCAGACCGAGGACAGATCAAAGGAGGGCTACAGGGACAAGGGCCCCGCCTCAGTCTCCCCTGTCTCCCCACAGGTCCAGGTCCTCCTCTACTACCTGCAGCACCCCCCCATCTCCTTCGCAGAACTGAAGCGGAACACACTGTACTTCTCCACCGATGTGTAGCCCCGGGTGGGAGCAGCTGTGGAGGTGGCCAACCAGCCCCTCCAGCTGGGGGACCCAACACAGACTTGAAAGACTACAATAGAAGACTCCCAAACCCAGCACTCCAGACTCCAAGGGACTCGGATTTCCAAGAACTGGAACACGTGCATCTTTCGTGCCACCTTGTACAGAGCCAGCTGACCCGCCCCCAGCCTCACCGCCACGCCCCGGGCCCCTGCCCTCTGTTCCTCTAGTTGCGTCTAATGCTCCACGCCGTTCGGGAATTGTTTTATGTCTGTCTGTCATGCAGAAAAGGTAGTGACTGACCCGGTGTGGGCAGAGACGGCCTGCTTTGTTCTTTCATTTCCTCCAACACTTTCTTTCCTCCTGAGTCCAGTCCAAGGGCTTTTTATTTGGCGTTTGGTGACCGCTGCCAGCTTAGCCTCTCTTGGCCCCGCTCCCAGATCGCAGTCTCCTGGCAGCCTCCCCCCCCCAGCCTGCCCGCATGCATGTGCAGCCTTGGTTTTCGCTCCATCACAGTGGAAGCTCTGAGGAGGCCCTGCCCTCGCCCTCCCGCTGTGCAAGCGCACCTGCTCGCCTCGCCGCCGTGCCAGTGTCGGACAAGGAGACGGACTCGCACTCCTTCTCGGCTTAGCACAGAGCTGGAAAGTGGATTTCTGGAGTGTCCCACCTGAGAATCCCCATTTCTGGGTTTGTCTCTTCTGTCTCCTGCCCACCGGTGAGGCATTTTGACTGTTTCTTCTACTGCTTCTCAGTTTCTTTCCCCGCCACTTTCTGCTTCCTTTGAGCGTGAAGACTCTCGAGTGACCTGCTACATCGCCACGGGGAGAGGAAAGACTTGGGGGAGGTGAGGGAGGCGGCCACTGATGCAACCACGGGTCAGGCATGGGAGGAAGGCCACACAGCACCGGGTGTCAAGTGGGGGGGGGCCGCTGTCGGCAGTGAGTTGTCGCAGCTTTTGTGGGGGAGCTGGGCCTCCAGGAGGGCGGCTCGGATGGACGGCTGAAGCAGGTGTCCAGACACGGGCAGGCTCCATCCAGAAACTGGCCCTTCTGGCGCCTCTCGTACCTCGTGGTACCTTTGCCTTAGACTTTACATTCCCCACAGCCAAGCACTGCCACGGGGCAGCCCTAGCGGCCATGTGTGCTCCCGGGCCTGGCAAGGGCGGGTGTGGTCCAGCGGTAGCCAGCCCTCGGGGTGCTGCCTCCCCACCCCGGCTTCTCCGTGCAGCCTTTCGGACGAACTTTGGGAACTCAAGAAGCTGGGGAAGCCTGAGGGGTTACAGGTACCACCTCCTGGAATTGGGTCTTGCTGGAGACCCTTAGTGTTGATGCTCTGCTCCAAAGTCAGGGATCAGCAGGTCCCATTCCCAACTTTGCGACTCGTTGCTCGGTACCAGAAAGGAATGAGAAGTATAGCCAAATGCTTGTTTCTTCCCTTGTGAGCAGGAGCGACCAACCTGGAAGGGCAGACACTCCTGGGCTGCAGGGGACTGAGTTGCAGTACAAGCTCCCTGGCTCTCCTGTGTGGCAGAGAGTAGATTCCCGGCTCTCAGGACTAGAGAGAACTGCTCTTGTAGCTTGAGCTCAGGGCTAAGTTTTAAAGAAGGGTCGGTTGGCCCTAACGCCGTAACGCTTGCTCAGTGAGAAGCGGGGCCCTTTCTGATCTTGTTTACACCTGTTGCCCAATCTTGGGCAGAATGGTACACATTCTGTGCACATCAGATGAAAGAGATGCCCGAGAGGAGGGGAAATACTGGCCACTTAGCTACCTGTTAGCAGCTTAGCTAGGAGCCCTGCTCCCTGAGACAGGAGATGGGGAAAGAACTTGAACCTGAAGGTCGCAGCATCTGCCCATCCCTGGAGTCTCTGCTTGGCACTCAGGAGTCGGTATGTGGCATGGGAGGCTCTTGCTTCCAAAGCCATTGATGGTAATGAACTGGAGGCCCAGCTTGAGCTAGTTACAGCCAAACTTAGGTGCCTCCCACCTCCCCCAAATAAGGGGTGTTTACTTAGTGTCAGGTAGCTACTGCAGCCCCTGAGCGTAGGCAGTGCAATGGGAGGAAGGCTAGAAAGACTGAGAAATTCGAAAGGCTCAGAATGTTTATAAATTCTACCCTCAGAGTGGAGGGGGCAGGTACCAGACCTGGACTGAGCTGCAGCCCATGGATTCTCCCGAGAAGTGGGGACTGTGTGTCCCAGGACCCCCAGCCCCTCTGCCCAGCAGATAGGCCACAGCAGTCCCGGTAGGCCTGTCCTTGCTGGCAATGACCGCAGGCTGCTGGGTTTTGCTGATACAGGTAGGATGGCACCCTTCATTAATATTTGACTTTAATAAGTTGGTAAGGATATATTTTTTGTCTATGTTCTGTTTCAACTTATGTAGATTATTATAAATTGATGTAAACCACATGAGAGAAAATGTTAATAAAAAAAATGCAAAGCCCCAACATTCGATTCGCGCACCGCTCGGCCCTGTGGTGTGGACGTTTGTGTTCCTGGTGGTCCAGGGAGGCCGCCCATCCAGTGGTTAGTTCTTCGGGCTGCATCCAGACACGAGTTTCCAGGAACCTGCTTACCTAGTGGATTCCCCCTGTGCTTCCCTAGGGACCACAGGACTGTGGTCGTTAGAGGGAGGGGGCCCAAGCCTTCTCCTTGCTCCTCACAAAGGCCTCCAGGTCAACCACCAGCTGTGTGTCCTGCCGGGGACATGGCCATCAGTGTGCTTCACAGAAACGGCAGGAATTTGTCCCCTCAAGTGGAGGCTTTTTTTGCATAAACTTTTCCCTCCACTTTCCTTGGATGTGGCTCATCTTTTGGCCTAATCCGCTCGCAGCGAGGCTGCACCCTGGAGGGCCCAGCCTCCCTTTAGGAGAGCTGGTGGGGTTAATGCAGGCTCCTGCCAGCCTCAGCCATCGGACACTGTGTTTATTCTGGAGATCAGGAACAGATGTCTCTGAAAATTAGTGTTTGGTTTATGAGGTCATACTGACTCCTTGGCCATCTAAAACAGGAAACTATTCATCTCCTCTCTCGATTCAATAGTCAGTGTGGACAATGCTCTGCTTATTGAACTGACGGCTACTGACAGCCCCAGGGCTCATCGCTACCAAGGCAGTCGGAGGGCAGCGCGTCCGTGTTCGGCCCTTCAGCGAGCCTGACCCCGCACACTGGGCTGCCTGGGAGAAGCTGCTGGGCGTCCTATCACCTTTCGGCAGGTGCCAGGTAGGAGCATGTGCTCCTGCTCTCAAAGTGCTTACAGATGACTTGTTTAGGACAGGGTCAGAAACAATTCTGAATTTGTCCTCAGATCCCTGAGGGTGCTCTGGAGAGCCCAGCAGCAAAGAAAGACACCTTGTGCCTGTGAGACCAGGACGGGCACTGTGTAGAATTCACCACAGAAGGACCTGAGCCCTGCACACTGCTCACACGCACTCCAAGGGGGACGGCAGGCATGGCGGGGGGGAAGGTGTCACCAGCTGGGTGTGACGTTATCACTCACCACACACACACACACACACACACACACACACACACGATGCCGGCATGTTCAGCCCAGTCTTTGAAATCTGGTTACAGGTGGGTGGGCTAGAAGACAGCCAGCAAAGGAGGAGAAGAAGAGGTGGAGGAGTTACTGCGCAGTAGAAATAGATGTAACTCCCAGCTGAAGGTGGCTAGGACTGCACGTCACCCACTAAGCCCACCTGCCTGCCCCCAGAGCAAAAGCCCAGGTTCACCAGCTTCATCTTGTCACCACAGCACCAGTGTAAAGCAGAACCTGGGGCAAATCCCAATTTTTTTTAAAGGCTTTTTTTTTTGTCCATGGTACACAATTAGACTGAGCTTCTGTTGTCAGAAAAGTTCAAGTCAGTTCAAGGCTACAGTTCAAGTCAAAAGCGCCACTTTGAAATAATAGAACACAGCCCTGACTGGTATGGCTCAGTGGATTGAGCGCCAGCCTGCAAACCAAAGAGTTGCTGGTTCGATTCCCAGTCAGGGCACATGCCTGGGTTGCAGGCCAGGCCCACAGTGGGGGAGTGTGAGAGAGGCAACTACACACACATGCTTCTCTCCCTCCAGTCCCCTCTCTCTAAAAATAAATAATTTAAAAAATAATAGAATACACACCAGAGAACGAGGGTGGGGAGGAGCAGCCTCTCAGCAGCGTCGGATTTTATCCAGTGCCTGCTGTCATCCGGCCGTCGTCGGGGATGACGGCCGGACCGTCACATGCTGGCCTGAGCTGGGCCCAGTCCAGTGCTCAACGCCTAACAGCAGCGGGAGGTCCAGGCCCGCCCACAGGAGGGTTGTTGGGCGAAGCCGGCAGGACTTACGCGGGGGTTGTAGCGCCTCCTAGGAAGGCCCTGGGCTCAGCTTCCCGGGCGGAAGGCCCTGGCCGGCGCCAGTCTCCGTGGAGGCAGCACCATGCGCTGGCCGAGTCCGACGACCCCACAGTCCGTAGGGGCTTTCTCAGCTTTTCTCCTTCAGGAGTTTAGTCTTTGGGTTAGCTGGCACCATTTTGGGGAATTATAAAAATAAACCATTTAAACTGTAATATAAATATATTTTTAACAAGGATAGAATACTAAACCAAATGACATAATTGGCCACAAGGCGTAAGTTCACTTGGCCCAGCCCCAACCCGTGAGATGGTGACGGCGTGGCGGTCCCAGGTGAAACGGCTTCCTGCGTCTGCATGAAGTCCCTTCTGCTCCCACAGCACCAAACAGCAGGAGGGCCAGGGTGGCCGGACTGAATCTTGGTGAAGCTTAACTTCTACAAGTCAACCATTGACTCCTAAGCTGCCAGAAAGAGAGAGGCTGGCACAACATGCCCCCATACGGCCTGGCTGGAGTCCAGGAGCAGGGAGCATGGCTGCTTGGAGGATGGAGGCGCACGGCGGCCAGGCGGTGCCCTCACAACATCAGCCACCAGAGGGAAAATCAATGTCTTCAGCGTCAGAAGCAAGTGCCCAGGGTGGTGCAGAAAAGGCTCCTCTCAGAGCAGCTCTGACCTGGGCTGTCTTCCCCGGGCGGCGGTCACTCTCACCGTAGATAGTAATCAATTGCAGCAGAGAAAGCAGCAAAGCCTCCGCAACCAATGACCCCAGCCTTTAAGCCAGCTGTAAAGCAAACAGAAATAACATTAGCTGTGGTGACAGAGGCTGGGTCAGACTGTACTCACAAAAAGTGCATACCCATGGACACAAAGAAACCAGCTCAAGTGTCCCCTGCCATTCAGCCCAGCAGAGACCTCTGCAGGACTTCAGTGAGGCCGTGCACGTGACCTAATCCAGTGTGCTTCAGCTGCACTGTGCCTTCGCTTAACTTTTCTCGTTCCAAAGAATTACTATTTCCAGTCTCATGAAAATAGCTCCTCGCAGGCAGGAAACTGATTAAGAAAACCAGCCCTGAGAATCAAGTGAAAGCACATGGCCTGCCGCTTGGACTTGTTTATGGACTGGATTCCTGGGACGGCGATCAAAGAGGCCCTGGGGGGGAGGCTGGCTCCCCAAGGCCCTGACAAAGCAGAGCAGTGGGAGGGCTGACGGAAGAGTTACTCTCTAAATCATGAATGGCTGCTTGAGGAGCAAAAGCAGGTTTGTAATGATAGCCAACCATCTTGTCTCTCAGCAAATGGGAAAACAGGCTTTTTGCCTGGGGTAAGTCGAGGCCCATCAGAGGAAGTGGGCCAGCAGTGGACACTGTTAAGGAAAGTCGAGTCACTGACCCCTGCAGCACATGCCTGAGGGGACCGCTGACGCGGAGAAGTGGCGGGGAACCGGTTTCTTTCTTCATTGTTCACAGCTGATTACATTTCTTGAATACCTACATTAGGCTTTAGACATTACAGTGGTAACTTATACACAAAATTATTAAGAAAAATGTCTAAATAATGAAAATGCATGGAGCTGATATTTCGCATGACGTGTGGACAAAGGGCTTTCCAGGGCTCAGTGGGACCTAGCTCTGCTTCCACACTACCCAGTGCTTCAACACCCTCAAGAGATTACTGTGAGGACGTCCTTGCTGTGTTTCCAATGTGGGGGCAGTTCTTTTTTCTAAGACAGATCTAGACCTACCAGTGGTTCTCACCTGGGAGCAACTTTGCCCCCAGGGGACACCTGGCAATGTCTGGAGACACTCAGCTCCCACAACTGGCATCCAGTGGGTGCAGGCCGGGTGCTGCTAAACATCCTTCAATACATGGACAACCTCCCCTCCCCCAGCAAAGATTTATCTGGTCCAAAATGTCAACAGCGCCAAGACCAGAAACCCTGAAGCTTCCGGGATTGGGTTGGACATAAGCAAACACGATTAATTTGTCTGAAGGGAAGAATATCAATTGTCCACATACACTTTGGGCTGTTCCTGGAACACTCCTATGTTCAGAAATGTCAACTGCAGCATGTTGTCCAAGGCCACAGGAAAACCACCCCAGGGGCGTTTACTGACCTCTGAAGCCGATGGCTCCCCCGGTGATGCAGCCACTGATGACACTGTTCCTCCAGTCGGACCTTCCCCGGTACTGTGGGGGCAGGGACGCAGGGCAGAGCCAAAGAAACAAGCCAGACAACACGGTTAAGGGGAAAAGCACAGGGTTTCCAGATGGCTAATGTAGTCCCTCCCAAGGGAAACCTAATCTTTTCTCTCAAAAGTCTAGTTCGTAAAATTTGAGTGTGTTCACAGATGCTTCCAGCCGGTGGTGCCGGAGCGCAGTGTTTGAGAAGTGACCAAAATCTCTCCTCGAGTTCCCCAGTAAGTCTGTGCTTAAAATTGTCAACCAACTGCTGGCCTACACAGAGAAGGAAGGAGTCGTGCAAGCCCAAATCATTCGCACAAAACATTTACATTAGGGGCTATTTAATGGAAGTCCAGTCTAGAAAGTTTCGGACATATCAATCTGTTTTCTAGTAACACTGTGATGAGTACTTCTCTTCAGAAGTCGTAGACGGCAGTGGGCAAGGATTTCTCAGAGGGCGGGACACTCACAGATTCTACCAAACACTCAGTGCAAGAAAACATGGCGCCCACAATGGCAAAATTTTTGGCGTAGGACATCCCTCGCTGCCCCATGTCCTTAAGAACTTCTCTTGCCGTCGGAGTGCGGTAAGGGTCCTTAGGGTCAAAGCCCACATTGGTGTCGATGCCGGCGGTGAACACCCCAAATGCACCACCCAAGACAAATCCTAAAAACAAACAGAGATGAAGATTTCTTTGACATGCTTTCTGAATTAATGGGGTCATACGCAAACAGCACCTTCTGGGTGGCCACCAATGAAGAGCCCCCACACCCCTCGCCGCCCAAGCCTCCACCTGTCCGGTTCCACATCACACAATCCAGGATCTATCTTATCAACTGCTTCTTCTCTGTCTCCTCTTGAATTTCTTCCTCACTTCATTTCTGAATGCTGTGTTCCTCAAGATTCAGTCCTTAATCCCCTGTTCTCTTTCCACACTCTCTCACATATCCCCAGTCACCCTTGGATTAAGCTACCACCAACTTTGCAAATCACTCCCTTAACAATGGTAACATTCATAACAGTCATTTAGTAAATGCCATGTGCCAGTTACTCAGATACCTACCTGACAGTTACAGCCTCATTTATCCTCCATAATAATCCTGTGAGGTAGATACTATTATCCTCTCTTTTCTGTGGCTGAAGAAACTGAGACTCGGAGAGGTTAAGTAACTTCCCTAAAGTCATAAAGCTAGCAAATGGCAAATGCCACACCGCTGTCCACATCTGACCTTGCTGAGCCTGCTGGACATTTCCATAAACGTCCTCTTATCACTGCAAGGTCAATACAGTTGACCCTTGAACGATGCAAGAGTTAGGGGTGCCAAGCACCTCACAGTACAAAATTCACACATAACTTTTGACTCCCCCAAAACTTAGCTGTCCCCATAAGATGTAGGGAGGACCCCAAGAGCCAGCACACAGCCTGCCAGCTGGGCTGCCCTGCTGTGGCCATGCTAACCACCCACCTGAGGTGCCTGAGTGAAAGCAAAGGAAGCAGCATGAGCCACACAGCAAGGCCACCACCACCACTGCCCTCCCACAGGCTCCAGCGGAGCCCAAGAGCCCCTGCGCTGCCATCATCCTTGCAGGAAACCCTGGTGGGAATGTGGCTGCCATCAGTGGTGAAAACAAAGAACCAAAAAATTCTTGCCACCGAAGTCCTTGTTACTGTCAAATGGTTCAACATCAGAAATGGGTACGGATTTATACATCAAAATGACACCAAAGGTGTGTTTGTACATCAGACTGCCATCAAGAATGACCCACGGAAAGATCTGCGCAGCGCAGGAAGGAGAAACTGTCAAGCTGGATACAGTTGAAGGAGAGGAGGGTGCTGACGCACCGATGTGAGTGGCCCAGATGCAGCTCCTACAGAAGAGAGTGGGCAGGCAACTGCCCTGCACTGCTACAGATGTGGCTACTATGGCAGGTGCCTTGGACCACCCCGTAATTAACGTTGCAGAGGAGGAGGAAGGAGTGGCAGCAGTGAAGAATATGACCCCCCTGCCACTGACTGGCAGTTCAGGCGGAGTCAGCTGCACAGCCCCAGCATTGCCCTCAGTACCACCAGGTTCCCTCCTACCACATGGGATAGACCTTTGACCTTCACTCCCAGCTCTTTCCCCATCCCAACAGAATGCAGGCTGGTGAGATTGGAGAGATGAAGGATGAAGTCCCAGAGGGAGCACAGCTACACGAACAAAATCCAGCTTACCATCCAAGGTACGTAGGGACCGCCTCACCCACAACCTGCCCCAGCTATGGGAGAGGCTGAAGGTGAAGAGAATGAACACGCAGCAATGGTCCAAACCAGGCACCTGCTCACCAGGGATACCAGCGCCTTACAACTGTCAGCATCACCCCCGTCCTCCTAATGCTCCTTCACAACATAGCAGAGACACCAAGGCAGTGAAAGGCCACCTGAGAGCCACTGAGCAGTGCAGTTCTCAGTAGCACTAGGCTCCCCAGGGACCTTTGCCATCAGATGATCTAAAGAATTAATGACCATTCAAAAAATAACACAAAAAGCAGACCACAACCTTAGCAACACTAAAGCAATAAGGTGGAAGACTAGTAACCAAGATGTGGAACTGGAATGTTTACACTTGTTCTTTATGAAACATGTACAAACAGAGACTGTCAGCCAATGTTCCCAGTTTTTCCGGGAATGCCGGCACAGAAGATGAGAGCAACCTCCCCAGTTTCGGCAACCACTGGGTTTGTACTTTTTTTCTGGCTTTCACTATTTTGGTAATGCGAAAGATAGACTATTAACACCACACGGGGAGAACCCCAACCAAAGAAATCTGAAATATATAGTAAATGCCTTCTCCCCTACTCCCATTTCTGTTAATTTTGGATGCTGGTTCTAAATTTCCAAGTGTCGTCATTTAAAGAGAAATTTTATGCCCTTCTTATTTCTAGGATGAGGGGAGAATGACATTTTTGCTTTATTATGTGACTGCCTTTGAAAATCTGCAGCATGAAGTTCCTCAAAAATAAAATTTTTACCCTTCGTTGTCCATTGTTATCTGTGGGGGACTGGTCCCAGGCCCCTCCATGAACACCCAAATCCACAGGTGCTCAAGTTCCCTATATAAAAAGGTGCAGATCAGTGCATACAGGAAGTCGACTACATCTGCGGACTCCCAAAGGAGGATGGAAAACAGGACAGGTATTTACTGAGAAGCATCTGCACACAGGTGGACTCACATAGTTCAAAGCTACGTTGTTCTAGAGTCAACTGTGCATGTTCAATGACATCATGGGCACCTTCTCCACATTTTCTTGCTTATGGCCCCTCCCTTCCAGTCACTCCAGCAGCAAACCTCAGCGGCATTTCCGTTTCTTTGCTTACCCCTGCAACTTCATGTCCACAGCTTCCAGTCTAGGGTCTTTATTACTTCCACCCTGCAGCACTACAAAGAGTCATTCATTTCAACAAACATGTGTTTGTTGACATCGGGGTCAAATGACATCAGATGTCAAATGACATTACAATGATGAACAAAGACCCGGTCCATGCCTCATGAACCTTCAGTGTAGCAAATTTCCTATCTGGTCACCCCATCCACAATTTTCTCTCCTTCATCACACTCCATCCTGAGTCATGCCCATTACCACTTGCTACCCTCCTTAGAAAAACCATCAATTACTGCCCTAATGCCTACAGGCCTAAAGCCCAAATCCCCCACTCCACCCCAACTTGAAATGACATCTCTTTCTCTATGTCAACCCCTGTTCTTTCAATCCTTCCAGTAACAGCTCCAGTTTCACCACCTCTTGTGGCCTTCCAGCCAACCCAAAAAATGCTTTCTCTTTCTTCTCCCCACTGTACTTTCACATCTACACTCTCGCTATATTTGTGTCATTCTCAATGAGATTTCAATTCATCTACAAATGTGGTCAATATCTTTACGCTGCACACAGGAGGGGCGCTGTACATTCTCATATCCTCAAAAGGTTTTGATTTTTGTTTTGTTTAAAAAAAAAAAAAGCCCAGTCCACACTTCTGTCCCCTTTGCTGACTGCTGTCTAGTCCACTGGCCACAATGGCCAGTTTTCAAACCTCAAGCCAGCTCCCGCCACACCTCTGCACTTGCCGTTCCCAATGTCTGCGGCGTTTTTCTGCAGTCTTCGATATATAAACATAAGAACGTTAGCTTCACGAGAACAAGCCTCTTGTCCCTCACCCAGTCTTTCCACCGCCTGGCACATGACGGCACTCGGTAAAAATTTACTGAAAAAATGGTTATTTAAAAGTGACTGAACGAATAATGAAACGAAGCCAGCTATTTTATAACGTCCAAGCCCCGACCCATCGTACCGATTCTCTGATACAATTCCCAGAAGGTCTAGAGAGCATTGCTGAGAGAGGACACTGAGCCAGGCGGGGGTGCTGTGAAGGTCGAGGCCCAAGGCTCTTTGCCTCCCGTGCGCGTGGTCCTCTTGGCAGAGGACCCCGCTGCCACCCAAACCCTCAGCTTCCCAAGGGTGCCCCCTCGCCTTATCTCACCTCCCACGCAGGCCAGCGCTGCTTTGAAGGCGCAACTTTCCATCGCCTTCTCGATCATCTTCTGTTCCTCGCTCTTGGCCGGACTCGGGATCCCGCCCAGGCTTCCAGGCTCCAGGAGCCGGGGCTGACGCTTGTCACCCACCATGTACTGGAGAAGAAGGCTGTACTGCAGCTGGGCTTCGGCGGAACCCGCCGCCTCATGTTCGGCACCGCCGGCTTTGGGCGCAGGGGCCGCCATGACTGCAGTTGCCCAAGAAACCCTGTGGCGTCCTTCCTCCTGCCGCAGATTCGACAAGCTTCTCGTTCAGGCTTTGCATGCCCAAGCACTGTGTCGCAACGGCAGATTCGTCACCTCGAGCAATCCGAGGATGTTGCAGAACTTAAGTCCATTTATGCGCACCTGGCAGAACTATTACGTTTCCCTCTTGTGGTACTGAATCAAGTTTGTGCAGCGTTCCCAATGGCACTTGACAAACAAGATTCAGATGCACCAGCGCGCCCTCTTAGGGGCTGCAGCGCGGTGCCCATAGGGATTTGTAGTTCCAACTCGTGCGCCCAAGACATTTCCCAGGAAGCCTTGCGCTGGCATTCGCCCCTCTTCGTCCCCGGTAGCTCCGCACGGGCGGGAGCGGGGCGGTAGTGCGCCGTGAAGCTGCAGCGCGCCGGGGCGCCGGCAGGAGGCGCCTCGCTACTGCCCTTACAGTTTATAACTTGCAGGAACTGTGAGATGTAATGGAAGGTACTTTGTAAATGAACGTGAAATCATGGTATAAATGTATGGCGTAATTGTTTTGTTCAATAATTAAACCTTTGATGAGTGAAGCTAGCCAAGCGTTAAGAAAAATCAGGGACGGTGATAAGAAGTGGAGGTGACTGGATGGATGGAGGGCGCAAGAAAGGCTGAGGCTGGCTGTTTTCCGTGGAATTTGTGATGTGACTAAAATTGCTATGAAAAGCGCAATTTATATTATGTTGAACCAATTAAAGTGTTTACCAGCTTGTAAACTCAGAACCTGAAGGTAAGCTGAGATGGTGCTGTATATGAACCCAGAAAAACTTTTGTAGTTTTATGATACTAAAATAGAACTCAAACTCTTGCATTGATCCAGGCTAGCGATGTGCTGGGGTGTATTCGCTAAGAGAAACATAATGGAAACAGAAGATAGTGAGGGTAGCCAGTCAACATAGGCAGAGATCCTTCTTTGGTTTCCAGCATTCTCTCTGCTGCCCAATATAGCATACAACTTACCCACTCTCGCTCCAACAACTGAAGGAGCTAGTCCTACGGTTTCCAGGACTTCACACTTGTTGAATCTAATTCAGACCTCATTTTACAAGACTTCTCAGCTGCCTTTGACACTGCCGACTCCTCCCTCCTGAAGTTTCTTCACAGTTTCAGGAGCTTCTTTCTCCTAGTTTTGCTACAAGCTCTCCAGTTGCTCAGTCTTCTTTGCAGGCACCTCTACCTGATCTTTCCCCCTTTTCCTCTTGGTCCTCTCAAGGCTTCATCCTTTATTCTCGTCTCATGAAGCTCACTGTACCAGAGCAACTCAGCCACACTTGTGGCTTCTACTACCACCTCTAATGCATTAATGACCGCCAGATCTCTATCTCGAGCTTAGGCCTTTTTCATAAACACAAGAAACAGGCAATTTCCACAGGCACTTCTAACTCAACAGCTAGACAAATACCCTTCCTTCCCATGAATGAGGGGCCCAGGGCTCTGATTCATGTTGAGGTCTTAAGGGCCAAAGTGGACCTAAGAGATAAGCTGGGACAGGCCTCCAGACACATCCTAGGCAAGGTGGCCTTAGAAATCAATGTTCTAAACAATTAATCCATAGGACTAGCTAGAGAGCAATAGTCAGTCTGAAAATTAAAGGTCTGCAGCAGAATTCACATGAGATCCAAGAAAGCACATGCAGGAATTCCATATGTCCTTGTCGCATGAGGGAGGGGCCCTTCCACGGAACATCATTGGCTCAGGTCACAGGTGGAGAGAGAACAGTTAGACACAGATACTAATCTGGCATCTCTCTCCCCCACCCACCTTCTTCAATAGGTGGAATGAGTTTCACCTGATGGAAAACCTAAACCTCCTCAAGCATATTCTAGAAGTAAGAAGTGGTTTCCCATGTCTGCTTCCCTGGGCAGAACTTTTGCCAGTAGTCTAGTGACTTTATCTGGCCACAGCATCACTGGGAGTCCAGCAGGTCTCATGTTACAGTTTGGTTCTCCATCCCAGCACATCTGGCACATCTGTTCTGACAAGGACAGAGGGTTGGAGCAGCATCTCACTGGTCAGAGAGAGCAAGGGACATTTATTTATTTATTTGTTTATTTTATTTATTTTAGAGACAGGAAGGGAGGGAGAAAGAGAGAATTTGTTTCTCTTCCAAAGAAAGAGAGAAACATCAGTGTGTGGTTGCCTCTCACACACCCCTACTGGGGACCTGGCCCGCATCCCAGGCATGTATCCTGACTGGGAATCAAGTTGACAACCTCTTGGTTCACAGTCTAGTGCTCAATCCACTGAGCCACACCAGCCAGGGCAGCAAGGGACATTTAAGGGTGAATTAGATCCACAGGGAGTGTTGTAGGAAGAGTCTGCACACACAGAGTTGGTGACCCATCCCTTGAAGGACTACAGGTAGTGGTGCAAACGGGTTGGTGCTGAACTGGAGGAGGGCCTGATCATATCTCCCTTGGGTGCCCAAGACCCCAGCTGTCCTGCTGTTCTCTCAGTATGTCACTGGAGCCCAGAAGTAAAAGAAATAGCACGAGTGGGATGGAATGCGGAGGTCCAGGTTGAGAAGGGCAGTGTCCCATGTGGCTTTGAGTTGTATGTGAATTTGGTAATGGTGAGTAATCTGAATAATCCCGTTGCTGGTAGGAGATACGGCCCCATAGCTACTCTGAGTAGCCAACTGATTTACTGTAACTAGTGGGTACTGGGCAAGTGACTGTATTTAAAGGGCCTTGACCCATGTCCTCCAAAACCAGAGTATAGCTAGGAGCTAAGAATGGAGATATGACAACTCAGAGGAGATATTAAGTTGTGGCTGGAGCTGGGCTGGAGCAGGAGCTAAACTACTCTGAAAAGGTGATAATATCCACCAGCATCACCATCCTCCATCATGTGAGGAGTATAGGTCAGAGGTGAAATCTAAGGATATTTAGGAATCAAAGTTGGTTCAGTCCTTGCACTGCCTGTCACATGTGGTTGCAGAAGCCCTGCACACGTGTTTGGCTGGAGTTCTGGCTAGGAAGGAACAATGGGTCATGTACCACACCTGGGCAGAGGCTGCCCCTACCTGGGTGTACTGCCGTACCACCTGTCTCTTTCTCCCCTGAGGCCCCTCCTAGACAGCTCTGGTCCCCCAAAGATGCCTATACAGCATCTAGGTCAGCAGTAAGTGAGCCAAATAGTAGCCACTGCCTACAGTGGGAGTAGGTTCGACTTGGGGCCTCACTGAAATGGGGAACAACTGTTTGGCTAGCGAGCCGGGAGTACCTCATGGGGCCAGGGGCCCACCACAGGGTGGCATGGGCCAGAGAAGAAGGGAAAGGCGGCACATTGCCGGTTTCATCTCTAACCTTAGAGCAACTCTCACTTGCCCAAAGGGCTGGTGTCCAGGGTTTGGGACCAATTTGTTGCGAAAAAAAGCCACTGATTCCCCCCAGGTCTTTTGTTCAGTTCCGAAGAAAGGCGCTCAGCTTCACAGGTCCAGCAGCAGCCCAGATGGCCACGTCCTGCCAAGTGCACAGCAGGCTTGACACCTGATTGGTTAGGAGGCCTCAGGGGCTGTTTGCCCAGGAGAAGACCGGATAGAGGCAGGCTTGCTTCTCTGCTTTCCCCTCTATGCACAAAAGCACTGGCGATCCCTCTTCCCATTCACCCCTCCCCCAACCCAGAGCTTTCCGTGTCTGATATTACTTCCGAGGCTGAATGAGAAAGCCTGGACGTGCCCTGCACTGACAATGAACTTTCCTAGGAGTGGACAGCAGGGGTATAGCTTTGCTGGGGCCACAGCACGGGCAGGGCGAGTGAAGTTCTGTATTTTCTGTTATAACTTTTTCCCACATGAAAGCACTCATAATTAAGCCCAAAACCCTGAAATTTATTTACAAAAACTTGTGTATTTATTCTTACATGTTTAAACTTGAGTTACCTTCAGTACTCTTCATTTGATGTGATACACCCATTCAGATGTTTTTTCCACTGTTCAGAACAGTTTTCAGATTCGTTGATTTTGATGCCTTTTAGTGCTTCTGCTGTTTTTTGTTTCAATTCTTCTACATCAGCAAGACATTTCCCTTTAAGCACTTTTTAAATCCGGGGAAACAAACAAACAAAAAAAGTCGCTCATGGCTAGATTAGGTGAATAGGGAGGGTGGGGCACGAGGATCATGCCGTTTTTGGTTAAAAAGGGCTGAACACTCAGCACAGTGTGGGCAGGGGCACCCATAAACCACCCATCATGAAGTGGGCAAATTGAAAGAGTCTTCCAAAAAAAATTTCACTGAAGCCAAACACAGCCTCTCACAACAACACCAGCTAGTACACTGATACAGATAAGTTCCTAGAACACTCACCTAGTGGGGGGAGCCTGTACTACAAGGGACCCTCCCTGCAGAAGATAATTCTGTTTGTTTTTTTTTCTGTGGGGGAGGGGGCCATCATACAAAGGGCTAGCATTATTTCTGCGGTAAGGTAGATGTGTCGAATGACTCATTCAAGGTTGTTCTCTTAGTCCAACTTGTGAAGCCTGCGTCCTTCGTGTCTGGACAGGAACGCTGGCAGCCATATTGAGGCCATATTTCCGGATCAGACCACGCGGGTTTGAGCAAGTGCAGCAAGAATGAGAACCCTGGCCACATTTTCTCAAATGGCTCCAGCAGAGCTACTGATGATCCATCTTGATCTCTCAGATGCAATGAGACAAAAGGTTGTTATAATTTCTTCAGCTGGCTTAGTCACCTGTCACTCAAGAGAGCTGTTAGTCTGTAGGGACCACTGCCAAATAGGCTCTGACCGGGCAGAATAATAAAAACCCAGCATCGAATGCACTGCTTGGGCATTGCTGCCTCGTATGGACAAGAAGAGTCTGTAGGATTAAGAGCAGAACCAAGGTGCAGGATGCTGAAGCCAACCTGGGCGTTAGGGGCAAACTCCCACCCCTGGCTAAGAGAAGGCGCTTTGGCATGAGGTGGGCTCTCTGAAGCCTCAGGAGGCAGCATCATCATGAAGGTTGGCAGGAAACGCTCTGGGCTTGTGAACTGGGAGCAAAGGACTGACACCTCATTCCCTAGTAGGAGGACTCAGAAGCAAGGAATTGGCTGAACTCAGCAGGGTAGCAGTTAGGAAAAAAAAAACAGATCTCCAAATCAGCCCCTCCCCTATCCGGAGGTC